AAGGGAGTAGCCAAACCAAGCCACTTATATGTGCTGTTGAGAGGCCCTTAAAAGCATCATCTCTGTTCAAAGATGCTCTTCAGACACCTATTGGCATAATTTCTCCATTTCAGACTCTAAGAACATTACTGGCCTTTCCACCTGTGACAACCATTACGAGATGCGGGTGTTCCCTTTATGCCCTTCTGCATGTATGTAGGACTGCCACCAAAATGTCAGGTCAAAGACTGGGCTTTCCTCTTAGTGGCTTCTTTTCCAGACCCTTTGTCATGGACCTTTTCAAATCTGGAATTATTGAAAGTTACATTTAAGGAGAGAGAAGGGAAAGGAGGGAAGACCCTGGTGGGTTTTCCAAAACTGTGCCAAGAACACTAGAAATACTTCAGCAGCAAACTGCTGTGTGTGAGCTGTACATTGTTTTTCCCATATCCTGTACTGCTTCTAACTAAATACCCTCATTGGGAATGTTTTTCTCTGGGGTGTTTTAGGTGAGAAATGCCCTGTGTCCAAAGCCCACCAGTGTTATCCCACCTGGCTGGTAGGAAGGCAGTGCCTCACCCATGTTCCTCAGGATTAGCCATAAAAGACAGATTAGTTCAGTAAGTGCAGTAGTTCCTTCCTTAGACTCAGAGAAGGGAGTGAGAACAGTAAATAATCAGTAAAATGTTAGTTTTATTTTTTAATGAAATGTTGACATGTTTTGACATTAAAGCCTAAATTAATATGCAAATATCATCAGTATTTACTGCAGCAGAGACAACCGTTCCCACACGACCAGGAAAATACCATAAACAGAAAATTACTCACAGTCCCCTTCCTTTTGTTCATCGACCTGACCTCAAGTGAGTGTGAAAGACTCAAAAAACAGTGCAGTGAAGACTAGGAGGGTGCAATACACTACAGGGTGACTGAACATGTCAGAAAATAAGTTCTTCTCTAACCATGGGTCTTAAACAGTCAGTCAGCATTCCATACAAGCATAACCTACAAGGATACCCTTCAAGCTACTACGAGATATTTGCTTGTCTTAATCTACAGAGAACAGTTTCATCAAAGTGGTTTCAGTGTATATGAATTTGACGTATTAGATATCTATGTGAATACTGAAACCAGATTGTTTATTATCAGCTAATTATTTATTGATCAGGTCAGATCCAGGAATGTAGTGGAAGAAGGTAACTCATGACTGGTGGATCTATACCAAGCATATCCATCAAAGCCTCAAATCCTCACAAAGAAGCATCTTTTTCATGCTCCTGGTGGCCTAATGCTTCCACCCTTGCTGTAGATCCCTGTTTTGTTTGGAATAATATGAGTTAGAACTTGAACTTTCCACTGTTCTTTCATGGGGTATCTGAGACGCCTGCATGTATTCTGCTCTGTTGAGATGATCAGAACATCAAAATAGCAACGTGACCACCCTGAAACTACTGATTTCCTAAAATGCTGGACTGGTAATTCTGGAGAGCAACCCCAGGAGGTGCAGAGTGCCTTTTTCTACGTCCTCACCAAATTCCACAACGCAGAGCTAGACCCAGGGAAGGATTAGGGCCCCACACGCTCGCAGCCCTCTCCTCTCCAGCGGCTCCTTTGGCAGTGAAAACACCAACCTTTACGCTTCCAGATGTGCCAATCCCGGTGCTTTTTGTGGAGTTTCAGGAGCTGAGAGGAGTTGAGTCAGTGCTCAGGTAGCTGCCATCCACTGAGGAGGAGGTGGGACTGGCAATTTAGCAGCTGGCACGGAGCACTCTCCGAGTTGTTCAGTGAAAGCTCCAGCTGCGAGAAGCAGCCACTGCGCTGGAGGTGTCGTTATTGTTTGTGAAATCATTGCTAATTAAGGTGAGATCTCACTGTGCTGGCGTTCAGCAAACACAGGAAGAAATGGACCTTTCCCTGACAAGTTTATCATTCAAACACAATACACAAGCAAGCATAGAGGATGATGGAAAGTGTAAAAGGTATATTTTAATGTTTCTTAAAACTTTGTTAGCCCAGAATCCCCCCCTGTAGTCTCTCTGATCAGTTGATTAATCTCATGAGCAACACAACTGTGAGCAACACGCCTTTTCCTCGGTTTTACTCAACAGTGACATGTGTATTGACTGGCTGAGAGATGCTCCACCAATATCAAATCAGATTTCAGTATCTGCCTTTCAAAGTTACACCCATTTCAGAAACTGCCTCTCTCTTCTTCCACCAGGGGGAAACAGTTGCCCAGGGTTCATGGCTCTGATTCATGAAGGAGTTTTACCTGGCTGGAGCATGGCAGGAGTCAACCCAAAACTGCACATTCCCTCATTCGATTTTTGGAGCATTACTTTTCCCTTTCTTGACAGATATATTCAGTTTGACTCAGTTTTTGCACTGGTTACTCTATAATCCACGAGAAATCACAGTTTTGTGATTCTGATGATGGTGGACAATGTAATTTTATTTTCAACCTGAATTCAAGCAGTGGTCCTGAGGTTGATATAATGTTGAAGGTAATAACTAATTCTGCATGTCACTGAGCAGTTCTGTGTATATCCAGCTAAAGAAGCATAAAATACTTCTAAAATTAAAAATAAAGCTTCTTATCTGCTGTTTGAAACCTAATCACTCTGTAGTCGATGGTGAAAGTGTCCCGAGCCACTGACCAGCGCTGAGGTCTGGCTCTGAAACCCTAAGAGAAAGATAAGCAGTCTCCCAACACCTGGGAGCCCAACACCTCATCCTGCCAGGATCTCTTCTCAAGGAGATATTTGCCCTTTGTGTTGAATTCTTATTGAGGTGTAGATCTCAGGGATCAGCAAACTTTTGAGTTGTCTTCTGAAGCACTAGCACCAGAGTAAAACTTCTGTCTTTTCTCTCCATGCCCCAGGTTCCCTGCTTCATCCTCACACACAGTGATGCCACATGTCTCCTACAAACCCAGTAGAAGAACCGAGCATTTATCTGTGTGTGTGTACATATGCACAGATATAAATTTCCCACAGAGGGAAATGTTCCCCAGTGGAGAAAGCTTTAGTAAAAATGGCGCATGACAAATGCTCTTCCCAATGTTTCATGCATCATGGAACACCACTTGGACTTCATGGCAGTGGATGTGCTCTATGAACCATACACATTACCATATTAAACACAGGAATCTGTAAAATCACATTGGCTGAACAGAAATCCAGACCTACATGTAGACTACTCCATGTAAACATACAGAAGTTAACCTTCTTAGACAAAAATGATGTTCTTGATTGAAAATATGGCTCTACCACATATTTTGCCCCTGCCTTCAATGGGAGACAGCACTTCATGTGTTCCATCTCAGTGGAAGACAGAGCTTTTAAGGTTGATTGACATCCAATTTATGCACTTCAGCAGTTGTACCTACTGATCAACACTGAATAGGAGTAATAAAGTTTTACTGGTGATTGCAGCTGTAAAGCTCAAAGCTATGAAGTACAACAGATTACATTTAGTACCTTAATGTAACTACCTGATAATCTGAAATCCCCAAGTAATGCCAATTGGTGACAGTATTTTACACGGTGTGTGCTATATACACCATGATTATGTACTTAGGCTTGGCACTATTTTGGCTTCCCAACTCTTTTTTTTTTCCCAAGGTGTTGGCTATGAGATACCCACAAATATATTTTTTAACTCTATTGGATTTCTTCACTTAAAAGTGAGATCATTGGTGTGTCATAAAGACATACAGACCACAAAGGAAGAAGCAGAATATTCGTACACTTCATTCTACTCTTGAATCTCACCCTCAAGCATGAAAAGGTGTCTTGTTGCATTGTCAGAAATACCTCAGCTTTTGCAACTCAGCTCTGAGAGCCTGGCTACCTCCAAGGGAACACACATTTCATAACTTAGATGTGGTGCCAGAGTTCCTGTGAAATCCAGACTGCCTTGACAAGCCAAGGTAAAAAATTAGCCATTCCTCTGATCATGGGTCAATTCATCTTATAGAGATAAATCAAACTGTGGTATTTACATGCTCGGAACAAGTAATGCAGTATGAGGCACTGTTCCATCAACCTACAACCTGCAAATGAGAAACCTTATTATATTATGGCCATAAAACTGGCATCAATTGTATACAATTACTGTACGTACATATTAACAGCTTCAAAATGTGGATTCACATCCCTACTCCTTTCTTAAAACCATAGGATCAATCTAGCCATATATCAGTTTTAGCCTCTTTCAATTATTTTAGCATAGCCTCAGAATTATATTTGGCATCTCTATCTGGCTCATACAATAACTGCCAGCAACAGTAACCATTTCTGCATTGAGGTCACCGAGTATATCGGCTGCTGTAAGAAGTCTGGAGAGCGCAGGACAGTGCCTGACTTAAAAAGTCAAGGGAAATAGGAAAAATATAACCCAGAAATTGTCGGAGCTCTCAGCTGCATTTGAGGTGTAGCGCTCAGATCTTAGCGCAGCTTGCCCTCTCCTAACCCCTCCTTACCTTCCCCTCCTCCCCGCCACACACACAGAGAATCACTGGAAATGATCCTTCCGTTTAACAAAAGCCTCTGCCCGTCCCTTTCTCTGCAAGGAACAAGACCTAATCCAACTATCCCGTCCCATAGGAAAAGCTGTTATTTGTGCGCCAGCCAGGCAGACCGGGGGGGTGATGGCAGCTCCGGCTGCCTTTAGGGAAAGGAAGAAAACCCGAGCATCCCCTCTCCACAGAGGAGCCTCTGTTCAGAGAGCGGGTAAGAAGGGATGCGGCAGACAAAGAGAAGCGCCGGGCTGCTCCCCGCTCTCGGCAGAGCCGGGCACAGGGCACTGATTCCCGTTGTTGTGCGCGGCTCGGGCAGGCGGGGACCCTGTGCCACTGCAGCAGGTGAGGCTGCTGGGCGGGAGGGAGCCAGGGCAGCCCGAGCGTCCCCGCAGAGCCGCGCCGTCCCCGCGGGCAGGGCGGTGACTGTCACTACTGTCACCGTGACAGCGCCGCCGCCGCGCTCTCCCCGCGCTCTCCCCGCGCCCTCCGCGCTCCTTACCCGGCTCGGCGCGGGCGCTCGGCAGGAGGGCGACGACGACCCCGAGCAGCAGGACGGCCACGGCCGGGCCCGCTCCCCCGCCCGCGGGGCCGGGCGCTGCTCGGGGCCCCGCGGGGCGCGCCCCGCTCCGCCCGCCCGCCGCCCGCCGCCGCATCCCCGCGCCTCGCTCGGCCCCTCAGCGGGCAGCGCTGCCCATCGCCGCCGCGCCGGGCTCTACAGCAGCAGCGGCTCCGCGGGCAGGCGCGGCGGGAGGCGGAGCGGGGGGCGCCGCATCGCCGCCCGCGGGACGCGCGGGGCCGGAGCTGCTCAGCGGCGGCGCGGCCCCTCGGGCTCCGGCGCGGGGAGCGCCGCGGAACGCAGCTCCTTCATCCACAAAGGGCTCACGGCGCCGCCAGAGCCGGCCCCGCTCCCCGCCCTCCGAGCGCGGGGAGGCGGGAGCGGGGGCGGTGCTGCCGGGGCCGCGGGGACCCCTCCGCCGCCCCCCGCGCCGCTCGGGAGGAGCCGCGGCCGCGGCAGGTGAGGCAGCCGGCGGTGGGGATGGGACCCTGCCCGCTGTGCCGGCCAGGGCACGTGGAACGCGGCATCAGCTCCGGGCGATCAGCTGCCTCCCTAGTTTTTCTTCAGTCGCTTGTGCCCGGCGCTGTCTTTGGGTGTAAACGAAGCTGCACCCGCTCACACTTGTCCTGCGAGCCTGGCAAGACTCAAAGTCACTCCCTCCTCACTTATTGCCGGCTGGTGTCCCGACCTGTGAGTCTCCGGGCCAGGGCATTCCCGAAGATGGCCCAGTTATCCGAGGCACCAGGCAGCAAGCAAGCAGCCACAGCGCCGAGCGCCACTGGCAGCGTTTCTGCGAGTGCAGAAGCAGCTCTGGAATTAAAGAAACTCGAGTGTACCGCAGGGGGTGACCAAATTGGCAGCTACAACCTCAGCCACCCACTGTGCAAACACAGGAGAGGTCTACGCCTGTCGCCCCTGTCCTGTGCTCACTCGGTCGGTCACTCCCTCCCTGCCCAGGACACGGCTCAGACCTCCAGTCTGAAAGGGGAGCTCCAAAGGACAGAGGTTTGTCTCTGTGATGCTTAAAGGTACACCAGGAGACCAAGCACCACACGAAACGTGTTTTGGACAGCAGCTGCCTCAGTCACAGTCACACCAAACGTTGGGGCAGTTCATTTAGTGTTTTCTGCAATTACTATTTTCAGCAGAGGTAACGTGAAATCTTTATTCTAGTGTCATCTCTTTCCTGGAATTCTTCCATGAATTCTTTTAGTTCCCAGATCATGTCTGCAGGCAACAGGCAGTGATGGCGGGAGGAGGAGCACAGCAAAGGTGCCTTGGGGCACAACATGCTCTGGTACCCCGAGAGCTGATTCTGAAAGGCTGCAGCAGTGCTTATACGCAGGAAAGCTGCCCCAGCAATTCTGTTCTGCTGGAAGTTGTCTTTCTGAGAAATCCTTCAAAGTCACGTTTGAGGTAGAGCAAGCCTCATCAGGGGCCAGTCACAGCTTGACATCTGCTACCCAGCCGCTCACAGCATCCCCAAAGCCATGGTAACCCATAATTACATATTTATTTGACTAGTTCAGCACACTCCCTATGTCACCAATGCAATTACTTGGCCACTAATATGTCCCATTTCTGCCGTTTTACTTTTTCCTCAAATCACTAATTCAGTCTGTGCAAAAATTAGCTTCCACATGATGACAACTAACGATTATCCAGAGCAAAGATGGCAGTTGTATGATTATTATAGTGAAATGGAGAGCTTGCTCATCACTCCGCTTAATCCAGGGCCAAGGCGTTTAGTGCAGGGCCCTCTGGTGGTACCTTTAGGGAGTCCTGCGGAAACCCCATTCCATCATTTTCGTATTTTTCTAGGTTTTGTCATAACTCGGCTTTGTAATAGATCCATCAGCAATTCAATTTTGAAAGCGATTTTTCCCAATCTAGCTCTTAACCACTACCATTTTCTCTTAATTTTCTATTACACTCTGTGTATGTGTGTGTGTGTGTGTGTGTATCTATTACGTATAAAACACAAATACTGGATTTAGATGTAATTTCAAAGGATTTTTTAAATTTTCTAGAATGATGACTAGTGAAAAATCATGGGAGTTTTACCAAGTAACTGCTGTTAACTACTTCCTGAACTTGACTTTCCTTATCCTATTTCTTTGGTTTTTGGGGTTTTTTTTGTCCAGAGAGGTAATTTCTACCTCTTGGGGAGTATCTGTGCATCCATACTTGCTACTGAGATTTGCTTTCCTACATATGTATTCTCCTAGAGCATCCACATGCTCCGTACACTTGATTATCAGGTACTTTTTTTTTCCAAGCAGCACATATATTTTGTCCATGAGTTTCCCTTCCATGGTCACACACATGGCACAGGGGGGTGAAGTGCATGTACTTCTAACCTGGTTTTCCTCTCAGCTGGGGAATCCTCAATACCAGATGTTAGTCCATATTCTAGAAGAGATGTCTCATTGTGGAGAAAGAATCAAGATGCTCCACGCCAGTGAAGATCCTCTCTAGTTGGCTGTGATGTATTGAGTGTTCCTCCACAGGACCAGGATGAACACTACTCTCCCACACTATGTAATAACAAGCCATACACACAGAGCCCAAAATTCATGTTTCCATGGACAACCCTGCCTTTGCCCCAGAGCAACAAGTTGGCATCACCTATCTGACTTTGGTTGAAATGATGAGTAAAACCCAGATCCAAAACCACCTTGCTCACAGCAGACCTACCGCAAACATTCCGAGTCTTCCCTGTCTTTATGAAGGAACCCATTGATGAGGATCTCATCCATGGATGAGAAGCCACTGTGTCCATGCAGTGACTTCCCCATGAAGCAGGTGGCAGGCCATGGTCTCTCTTTGCAACAGAACAGTTGGCATTTTTCATTTTCATGAGTAACCAGGCCAAGTCCATGAACATCTCACTCCATAAGTGCAACCAGAGAATGGAGTCCAGCCTCCAGGCACCTCTATCCACATGGTGTAGATGCTTCTATTTCAGGATTTAAGGAGAAGAACCCTTTCAAATGTGTGTTTCAGCCTCTGAGCATAAAGCTCAGTGAAAACTCAGTGCTGTTCCCCAGGACAAGGACAGGCAGAATTACCTGAATGTGCTTGAAGCACGTACCCACCTCTCCCAAGGCAGAAAATGCAACTTCCTACAGGTGGAAAGGCAGGAAGTTATAATTAACATCAATCACCATCAAACCATATCCACGCCTTCCTGCACAGCAGGACATCAGCCCAAGCTGGGAAGAGAGGCAGGAGGGGCTACAGCACTTCTCTGGTGTTTCCCAGAGCTCTGCACTGCATGAGACACACGTGCTGAACACTGTGGGCCTATGAGGAAGTTACAGCTCTTTAAGTGGGGAGCAGCACTGTTCCACAACTCTCCCGAAACGTGGACTTGTGCTGCCTCTACTCGTGACAGGAGCTGAACTCACAGTGTGCATGAGCTGCAGTGATGAATGTGAATCTGCCATGATAGTCAGAGCTGCTTTGTGAGTGGTACCAAACAGGAGCTTCTCTGTTGCCTCTCCAGCTGAAAGCCTAAGCTAATTCACTGAGAAAACACAGCGTCATCCTGAACCCATTTGTCCCACTACAGATCTGTAGCATGTGACAGCCCCATTGACTCTGAGAGCTTTTCCTTGAATGAATCTGCTGTCTTAGCTGCAGTACAAATTTGTCCTTTGCTTCTAGTGACAGGGAAAATACTCACCAAATTTTAGACCAGTGTTAGTCATCCTGAAGACAGCTGAGAGGAAGATTACTTAGTTGTAATTGCCTGTTCTAGTCCAATCCTTCCACAGGATGGGGAAGAGCACAGGAGACAGCTGGACATCATTACTAATAGAAAGCAAGAACAGAAAAGGACTTCATAGGCAGCATATTCCCCCTGAAAGGCTCAGGCTGCCTTTCCTTGTTTGTTAGATGTTGCCAGAAGTTGGAGTGTAAAATACACCAAGGCAGTGGCCTTATCTGCTATGGGAAAAGTGGGATCAACATGCATTTCAAAGTTAACAATACACAAGTGTAACTGTAAAGAGAGAGAAAGAAGCAGCTTGGAAGCAACACAAGTGTCTGTAGAACTTGGACAGACACGTTTACATGTCACCTGAAGGACAGTGCTGCAGGAAAAGCTTTGTAGACACCGACCAACTTGACTCGAAGAGCAAACGCTGTGAATGATCAGCATATCAGCAGCACCTTGTCTTTAGCAAACGAAAGCTTTCTGTCAATTATGAAATATTTTGGTATCAAAAATATACTGCACTGTCATTTCAGTCTTTTACCTTCCGTTTATGACTGCACCTTAAACGGGATGTCAGACACAGAAACTATTCTCCCCACACGTACCCACGTGCACCCAACTGCCCGCTTCGCGCAGCTTCCCGACCACCGGATTTCAGCAAGCACCGCAACCCCACGGCAGAGTGAGCACATTTGGCTGACAACAGCACTGCCTTCCACGGATGTCTGATCCATACCAGGTGGCCATCTGGAGCCACCGACCACGTGGGGCCATCTGTGGCAGCGGGAGCACCTTCCTGCTGGCCCGGGCAGCAGCTGCCACAGGCTTGGTATGAACTCTGGCAGCAGAGTGATGTCTGCTGGTACCTGGGCCAGATAACCTTCTTCAAAGGTTGTAAAAGTGGGACTTCCAGAACAAAGATCCTTCAAGGTTTGGCTACACTAAAGGCAGAATCTCAAGGCCCTCTGAAGCAAGCCTTGAAAGCTAACAGAATTTAAAATTTCAGAAAGAACTTAATCAAACGATTACATCAGAATTTTAGAGCCCTCTCAGTGAGTTTTCATCATCTTTGCCTTAATCCAGCCTTGATGTAACACAGCAAAAAAATAAAAGCCACCAAAAGTCATCTGCTGCAATATATATTTTAATTCAAAGTGAATCTTGACAGTAATACACCATAAATTCTTATTTTGACACTCACCAAAATAGTCACCTGGAAAACCCGCTTTTTGTGACAAAGTACAGAAGGCTTGGTCACATTTAAATCACTGAGAACT